TTGACCTGGGGTGAGCGAAGAGGTTACAGGTGGCCCAGAGGACTTTGATCCCAGTTTTCCTCTGGAGCTCCAGGGCCAGGTCAGTGATCTCATCCAGATTCCTGTTAGTCTCCTCCAGTGTGCCGCCTTCTGGGGCCAAGTCTCTGTCAGAGGCAGAAAAGCACAATTTCAATCTACAGACAGATGCAGGAGAGCACGACACTCCTGACGTTTACACAAGCATGTGTGTCTGATGCCAGTCCAACAAAACCTTCTCATTTATAATTGACTCAACAAGCATCAGTAAGTCTCGTTACTCATTGGAACCACTACTAAGCTCACTTTAAAAGCCACCTTCATAATATTTTTCAATTCCAAAAGAGTTAAATAAAATGTATTACTAACACAAAATCACAAAGAGCATGCTAAGGGTTGTCCATATTTTAAACATTTAAAAAAATGTTAAAAACTTAAATATAGAAGGAACATTAACAATAATTGCAGATGTATACCCAAGACTTTTTGAAATTTGCACATTTGCAACATTTGTAAAGGGAAAATAAATATTTTTATAAAAGGTCAATATAAACATGTATTTTATTACTCAATAAATGGTCACAGAAGCCAGCACTAAAGGTTGAATTATACCTGTCATGGAAGGTGTAATACTTTACCTGGAGGAAAAAGGAAAAAAAAATCCATTAAAACTTAAATTCTCAGGTTTACTGTGAATTAATGATAAGAATTTATCTTAAAAAATGAAAATGACTAATTTTAATAGTAAAAATGTCAATTTAAACACATGAAATCTGTGATTTAATCTAAAATCTGTTATTAGCATATATCTGGACCTGTTCTATTACAATGTTTTCTGAAAGGACAAAACTGTAGATATTTTAATATCTGTTGGACACAATTTTCACTTTTAGGCCAAACGGTTATTTTTACAGCTTTGTAGAAACAAAAAGAAACAACTAAACTACTTCTATTCACAAAAAACGTATTGTGGCAGGTTGACCTGCAAGAGTTCAGTAATGACCTAGGACCTACCACTAGAGGGCTCCTAATCAGTCTCAAGCCTGGCTCACCTGTCAATAGGTTCACCTGTGGTGTATAATTGTTCTATTTTTGGAATGGAACTCAGAATTCTCACACAGGGTTTAGTCAGCATAA